TGAAATTTGAGGGAATACTTTCCGTCAGGGTCCTCAGAGAGCAAAGTCAGTCAATAAAACAGAAAAAATATTCCCTTAAGTTATTTGACGCGCAAAAGGAAACCTCGAGAGAGCACACGGTGGGTGGATGCTGCCTGACCAACCTAGTGGCCGCCTATGATGGAGTGACTACATCCGTGGATCTGATGTCCTACAGGACCAGTCCTGAGACATTTGTTTTCAGTCTGATGAATATTCCCTTCTAAGCAAATACAGAATTTTAGAAAACAAACTAAGATCCCTACTTCAGGCTTCATACTCTTCAGTGAGTGCCTGTAAAGGGTCATTCTCTCAGCCAAAACAAGAGATATTAAAATATGAACGTATCAAAAAAAAGAGCCTACCATTCTGAAGGAGACACATGAGACATTAGTTGAGTATTTGATGCTGAAAGCTTAGGTAGAAGATAAGACCCAACGGTAGGGCATGGGATCAGAGGGAATTTCGTGAAACAGGTATTTCTTAAGCCATGCAACAGCAAACATCATCTGGAGTTTTTCTTAGTTACCACATCTAGCAGTGAGGAAATTCACCATGGCAGCAGTTTTGCATCTAAGAAAGCAGAAGAAAGGCACAGTATTAGAGATGTCTCTTTCTGTGCAGCTATGACTTAGAAATGTGAGAAAGTGTATCATCACAGACCTTCGTGGCAGCTTGTCCTCACTGCCCGACAGGACAGCCTCCGCTGGAAATATCACAGCAGACACACAGCAGCAAACGCCATCCTGCCAAAACCCTGCAGTGAACCAGGGACAGGCTGCCACGGCAGGTTGGAACATGCGAAACGCTGCCGAGCGTCAGCAGTTCCTACTATCACAACACAACACGACGGAGCTGGCAGCATCCCCGGCCTGGCTAAGTACAGCAGAGGATGACTGAGAGCAGGGAGGGGCGTCCACACTACCCCTGGTTTCTGGGGTTTCCCTGTTGTTGCCTTGGAGGAGTTCCTACCGCCACTTTTGCATTTCCTAGAGCTTTACTACAAGATCACAGATCCTCTGAACTGTCACGGGCAACACACTGGTGATGCAGGAGAGAGCAGGGAAGAGACCAACCCTCTTCCCAGCATCTTCTGGAGGAGAATAAACTAGGACTGACCTATTGCAAGCAGTGGTAGGAATAGATTTCTTCACGGGAGGCAATAAAACAACCTATTTGTTTCTTTTTTTTCTTACCTTAAACCCACAGCTTCTATGCTCTCTCTGCCAGTCAGGGACACGTGCCAGCTGCGGCATACTGCTAAATTATGAACACCAGTTTCCAGTGCAGCCTCAGGCTCTGGACTAATCCCTGAAAGGGTCTACGCCAATATAGCTATTTTACAAGTACACTTTTAGTAATAAAGGTATTTCACATTGAACCAAAACTGAGAAATCTAATGCCCGTATCTGACTTGCAGAGGATCTATTCAGTTCCAGTAAGGCAGGCCCAAGAAAACACGTGCGGACGTTGTCCATTTACCCTTTAAACTGGCTCAAAATGGCACTTAATCTAAAACCAAACAAGCCACCACCAAGAAACCACCAAAAACCCAACAAAAACAAAAATGAGAGAAACATTAACATCACTGGCACAACCCCAGCCTGTACTTCCTGACTTGATCTACCATAGCGGGCACTAATATGGCCACATTTCTCAGCAAAATAAACATTGGCCCATTTTCCTCCCCTGCCTCAATAAAGTCAGTACGGTCTTTTAAGATGACATACGACCATTTACCGGGAGAGCAGAGATCCAGTATCTCTCTACATCCTCACCTTACCTAACTGTTAATAGACCTGAAATAAAAAGCCACATCAAACTACTCCTTTGTCTGTCAGCCAGAACACGTTTTCGGACAAACCTTTTATTTGACATACCCTGCACACCACAAAATGAAGTAATATACAGAGTATTGCCCTGAGGTCTCAAAACACCTTTGCTGACCTTGTCCTTGAGTTCTTGAAGAGATGCTCCGATTATGCCCACTTCAAAGGTCAGGCAGGGACAGATAATGGATCTAAACAGCCTGACTCCAAAGTCTCAAAAGGAAAAATCCACCCTGAGGGCAAATAAGCTGGGTGAAAAAATTCCATTGCTAAGAAGGGTTTCACATCTCAAAAATTAGTAGGTGGCAAGCTCTCAGTTTAAGTATTTCAATGAATATTTTGTCATAGCATATAAAGATTTTTTCCAGGGTTTGACTTAATTTGCCAAAACAATAATTACCTTTTGTACTTTTATACATCCATTAAGGAGAATTTGACCCATGTTACTCAAAATCTACTTTTTTTCATAAGAACTGATTTATATTATATTGGACAAGTGAAAAATTATATGGTTCTACTGCAATATTAATGTCAAGTCCAAAATTCAACTCACGTTGGCGATTCCCACTATTGCAGGTAGCATCAGCCAGCTCTGACACCGACTGTGTGCCGGGCATTCAGTGCTGTGTTTGGGCCCATATTTAAATAGTGAAGGACTCGATGCTGTATTTTGTAAAAATAACCGAATGCAGGCAATCGAGTTAACTCCATAAACAGTCGCACCATGCGACTGTTATCTGTCCCTGCCTGCTCCATCCAAGTGATGTGGCCTTTGTACCATCATAAGGGTTAGCCGATGCCAGCTAAGAATTAATAAATTGCATACTGGACTTCCATAAGATTAAAGAAAAAATGGTGAGTGTCCTTATATTGCAATTTATGCTACCAGTTTCACTGATAATTGTAATAGCATTTGCATGCAGGTAGTAACTGGCTTCCAATGACTGAAATGGTAAAGACAATGAATGAAGAAATACCATACTTTGAAGCAGATAAATAGCTCTACTTCAGGAAAGATAATGTATTCAATACCAAACAGTGAATAGATAACTTTTTATTTGTGAGAGCACTTTCTATTTCTATACTATTTGCACTTAGGAACTGAACGACATTCACTATCAATATATTTTTTTGCTGACTTCAGGCATCTTTTGATCAAAGTACTTGGATTACAGCATGTATCCAAATATCTCAAATACTACAACAGTTAACGTAATAAGAAAACCACTTTTCAGTACGTTACCACATTTACTGTCAAGGTGAATAAAGTGAGGCCAGTTAATGTAAAATGCCTGCACAATGACCACAGCAAATCACGACCAAAAGGAGGATGGAGCCGAGGTGTGCTGTCCCCGTGGCCTAAGCAGCCAGAGATCCTCCTTCAACCCTGGCTGCATTGCAGCCCCACTGAGCACCGAGAAAAGGGTTCTACTGAGAGGAAACAAACTTACTCCGTATCAAGATACTAATTTAGAGTGCAAAAAAGTCAAAGGGAATGTTCTACACAATAACATGAAACCCAAAAAGCATTCAGTGTTGGCAGTGACACCAGCTGACTGCAATACACGTTGAAAATAACACCCTACTTCCCACGCAGGGTTTCCACACACTCCTATTGATACTCCTATTGTTACACCCATCTCAGTTACAGAGCACACCTTCTTCCAGTATCCTCTGCCAGTCTGCACCACGCAACACAACTCAGGACACAAAGGTTATGGAAAAAGGAGAAGGACTAGAGATAAGAACAGCGACAGGCTCTGGTGAAACAACAGGGATTACAAATTATTTTCTAAACGTACCGGTGACTAGAAAACTCTTGCTACGCTATGATCAGACTCAACATTCAAGCAGGCATTTTGTCTTCAATTCCTAGCATAGCGTCCCCCATTTACTCCTCTTGCTTTCTCTGGGAAAGGTCCTGAATCAGAAAGATGGGGGAAAAAAACAACTCTCCTTAACTACTAGCCTGAAGCCTGCTGGCTTCACTCCTAATTTCTAGCTAATTGACAGCAGTTCACTACATATAAGAAAATTTATGTATGTCTGAGACCTGACTGCCAAATCTTCATTCCCATGGAGTAGGACTATCCCAAGTAAGCAGAGCACAGAACCGACCAGCTTTGCCCCAACCAAAGTTGCAATCATGTCCACAGATAGCTGTGGGTGGGCTGGAGATAACAAAAGATGGAACACAGTTGCTATGACAACCAGGTATTAACATCCCCAAAGGGCAACGTCTGATCAGTGTGTGCGCGTACACGCACCATTATCCACCTGTTCACGATTATACTTGTCCAGATACCTTGATTTCTTTCAGTCATTAATCTCTTAACTCCAATTTCCTAGCTACTGCACAACACACGATATATTTAACAGTAGATGAGGAATGTCTTATGTGGCTTCTATATCCCTGTCTAAAAGCAGCGAGCCAAATGCTACTGTCTTGATAAACACACAAGCCTTACTGACAGCAAGGGGTTATGCCTGTCGGAGACTTTCAACAGTGGACACAGAGGCCTTTAATATATTTCAGTACCTGGCAGAAAGCAGTTACTTGAATGTTCCTCAAACACATGCCACATTAGCTTTCGATGTTGTTGAATTATTCCATTCTCTAAAAAATGCATTTTAAAGACGCTAATGATAACAAAAGGAATATTGCTAACAAGGCGTAGGCTGACTTTTTGAAGTAGCTTTCAGCACAAGGTAATGAAAATGTGAATTGAAATGAGTGAACAAAACCAACAGACGCAATTCTAAATGAAAAATTACAGGTAGTAAAATGATTTACCACCACAAGGAACTTCCCTTGCGTTGAGATGCAAAACTCCTCTAATTAGAGTAACGGATGCTGGATTGTTTCAACATCTCTGAGTGTTAATCACCCAAGAGCGTACTTAAATCGAGACTGAGGTGTTCCAGCAGAAAGGAGAATGTCCTGCTGTAGTACAGTGATTTTGCACATGTGCAGGGTGGGATCAGAGATGCAGGAGATGCAATTAAACTGTCAGCATCTCAGAGAAGGGAACTGCCGCTGCCATGGAGATGTTACGACAGAGACAGGCTGGTTCTAGAAGTCTGGTGCCAGCGGAGAGGGGCTGCTCTGGCAGCTGTCAGAAAAGGGTCTTCCTCATGTGGTGAACCACCACCATGGAAACCTTGAGACAGACGCTTTCGTGCCCCGTGTGTCTGGAGCTGTTCACGCCCCCCGTCCTGGTCCTGTCCTGCGCACACAACTTCTGTAAGCAATGCCTGGAGAAGATCCTGCAGCACCAAAACTGTCACCACATCAACGGGTTTTTCCACTGCCCCCTGTGCAGGAAGGTAAGGAGGGGTGATCCTACGCTCTCTGTGGAAGCCGGGCAGATGCCGCATCTCGTAGTTAGGAGACTTTTGTTTTCATTTGAAGTGGCAGGTATGCCCCATCTCTTCACTGGAGGACAACAGTTCTTACAAGGAGTAACACGCCGTGTCATCTTTGTAATGAACGGAACAGGTTATTTGCAATCACTCCCATGTTTTTAATAGCGTGGCATCTGCCTTCCTGGTCCCTGAACGCGCTACTGCTGCACTGAAACCTCGCCTCACAATCCTTGCATTCCTACCGGAGGAAAAATGTGCAAGTGCTAAATGCGGTCTTCTTTAAATCAGATATTTTCTAGGATTCTGACTAAACAAGATATTCCCTTACCGTTGTTTCCCAGGTCGACAGGTTGCAGGTTTATTACATAAGTGAATCAGCAGCTTTTCTTGAAATTTGGAACATACTTATTTTAATATCCATATTTTACAGACTTCCGTAAGTGCCAAGTCCACTGTGAAGGCTTTTCTTAGGGATAGATTCTGCCACCAAATGCTAATACATAGCATTTTAAACCTTCTCACAGTCTTTATGGAGGCAAAACCTTAATTCAGTGAAAACTGAAGACATCTATATATTCCTGTCTAGCATGCAAGTAAATTTACTGACTTCAGGGAGTAAAAGGTTCAGGACTGGATTCTCATAATGCCTTCAGGACATGCCTCTGAATATTTAAAAAAATACACTTTTTACCTGTTAACAGAAACCATAAGATCTCTCTGCTTGATTTGCTAAATTCTGTGTCTCAGACTAAACAATGCAATTCCCGTTGGTTTAGGGTAAAGTCCCTATACTCCCAGGCAAAATATGGGCAGGTGATACTCAAGAGCCTTCGGGTTACAAAATACATGTTTGAATGAACTGGCTGTCTAGGTACTTCTGCAATATTTCACCATGGTTTAAATCTTATTAATGTAAATATCGACTAAGTAAAAATGATGTATTTTTTCCTACATTATACTGAATTACCAGAGAAACAAAGCGTTCCTGTATTACTCAAACTATTTTACTATTTTTTTCCTTTGTAGGTCATTTATTTGAGGGGCAGAGGAATTGTCGGCCTGCTACGAAATAGCCTAGTTGAAAGTATACTGGAGAAATTTAAATATGAGCTTGAAAAAATCTGTACTCAGGAGAAAAGACAGTCGTCCCAAATCTGTGAAGAACATGGAGAAAACATGAATTTGGTATGAATTTTTATCTGTCCCTTTTCATTTTAGTAACCTGCACGCTTTCTATCCTATAAGTACTAAGTCCTCACTAAGTCCAAAATTTCTTTATTGAAAATCCTAGTGGGTGGTCAATACTTCACAAGGTCCTTACATACAGCAAAGTTATTCTAATAAAAAATTATATAAAGATATAGAAATCTATTCCAAAATTATAACAAAAATGAGATAATACTGAATATTGATAAGGATTTCTTACCCAGAATATTTTTATCCATCCCACTAATAGGGGGCTTTCTGCAGCCACTAGCAAGCAGCTTCATAACCTACCTTCAAAAGAACAGTAACCTTTTTAAAAGTCAAGCTCAGCCTTTCAGACTGAGTAACAGCAGAACTAAAACTGTTCCTATTAAACCTGACCAAGTGGTGTAAGATAAGTATCTTCTTTGACTTTTCTAAGCACTGTGCTAAAATGACTAAAAAGGACCAGAGTTTCCTTCCCCTCTTCATACTGAATGCTCCCTTTCCCAATAAGCCACTGATGAAGGTAGCTGCAAAAGCCGCAGAAGCGTGGCTAGAGGTAAGCACATGAGTAGTCCCATTGAAATCAATCCTCTGAGAGGCCCGAGCTCTCATTCCTCAAGGAGTTCAATCATTCTACTACCATTCCTACACCAGCACTTACTAGAGAAAGCAATGTCAAAAATAATCATAAATAGCTCAAAGACACAAAAGCCCTTCATTCATTCTATGGACCGGAAGACCCAGTGCCACAGATGGTGATTAGGCATCACTTTTTAGACACATCGTGGATGCATATTGTCCATTTGTGTTGGAAAACTGCATCTCCTCTTTGAATTCTTCCCCTGGCTCCCCGTTTCACTGCACCTCACTCAAGCCCCTCGATTCACACGCTCACGAATTTTTTACAAAACTACATCTGCCTTCTGATCTGCTCTTCAGTCTTACAATGCTATTTCAGCATCTCCTCCTGTTCCACCAGTGAAGCCATCGCTCACTGTGTCCCACACAGATGTGCGCCTTCATCAGTCAGGCACGAAAAGCACTTCCTGAACTGAGCCATAAATCAGAGTTCTTTCCGTCCTATAAAATATCTCAGTTTGTGTGTATGCGTGTGTGACTGTACTAACATGGAAACAAAATTACAAATATAGGAAGAAACACGTATTTATCCTTCCTGCAGATATCACTTACCCCCGTCATTCTTAAGTTTTCTGGGTAAGGACTGTATCTTCACCTGCAGTTACGCATCACTTTCCACCATCCCCCATCCCAGCAGGGTATCTAGCACCACGTATCACCAAGATGCAAAATACAAAATACTGTGTGTGCTCTAAGGTCCAATAATACGGTATATCAAATGTGAAACTTCCCTATGCCATCTGATATCAAGATTCACATGACATACAGGAAGGGAGTACACTTTTTTTACTCAGCAACTAAAAGGCACGTGGTTTGGCAAAATTCATATCATGTACTGCAAATGCCAACAGAGCAAACACAGCATAACAGCAATCTTGGTTTGGAAGACAAACACTGCAGCTTCACCAGCAACACTCAGTTTTGGCACTTGTAACAGCATCTAACAACAGACAGACCAACAAATTACTTGGATTATTTTGCTTACTAACTCTCCTTGTGTATTTTTTCTCCCTCAGATGTGCCTGACTGACGATGAGCCAATATGTGCAATCTGTAAACTCTTTGGAAAACACGAGGACCACAATGTTGCAAAAGTATCAGAAGCTTACAACGCAAGAAAAAAAGCATTTATAAAAAAATTACACTTAGTTCACAAGAAATCTGAAGAAGCTAGGAAGGTACAAGTGACTCATCTGAGATGATACTAACAAAATCACATGATCCCTGGATGTCTGACAGAAGATTAGAGAGCTGCATTTTGATTCTGACAGGAGGCAGTCAATTTGTAGATTTTCAAGAGAGGCTTAGGATATACAAGATAAAATGGCTTAGCAGGAAGAGAATAAGAACATATTTTAATCCTTACTTAGATTGTATTATAGGCCTGGCCAAACGGGCTCTTTCTCTTTTGTTCACCTAGTTATAACATGAGTTTTGAATACCAAAGCTTTTCTCACGTCTTCAAAATTTGTTAATGTTCATTAAGTAGATGAAGAAACATACCAAGACATATTACTGGATGTGGGCTTGCAAATTTTAACTGCTGTTCTCTGCAAAGAACATGCAGTACATGCAATCTGCCATCCCAAATACTCGCAGTAACACACGTACAGAGCACAAATATTCCTGCAGAATACCTTGTGACCAATGTCTTTACTAGATAAGTGGGCTTGCAAGGAGGCACTTAAGAGCGCATGGAAAAAATTGGCACCTTACTACTCTTTTATCTTTATCCAAAGGTATCGTGTGTTTGAATAGTTCCTAAGTCTCAAAGTAGATGGCTTATTCTTTGAAAGACATGCAGACATCACCTGGAGATGCTCATGTCCTGGTCAGTGCAGTTAACGCTCTACTCCGCTCCCGCCTTGCTGATCGGCAGGGGATCCTATTTCCCAGGAGTGCTGCTGTCTCTCATGTGACTTCACTGATGCACTAACCTTGGCAAAGCTGCAGCCCGGCTTTATTCCCAGCTCCCCTAGTGAAAGGGTTACGGAAATACCAGTAGCCTTTTCATTCTCAGTACGTGAAGAGCAAGTAGGCCACATCTCGCCCGAAAAAAAACTTACAAACCCAAACAATTTATACAGTTTCTCTTAGTGAACTGACTGCTAGTTCCCTCCTCTGCTCACCTTGGTGCTACCTCCACAACGAAGGCTTGAGCACAGCGCACAGCTGCCACAGCTTCCTAAAGAAAACAAATCACATTCCCAAGAAAAGACATTTTAAGAGATCTATTGTGAAAAGCACCCTGTAGTTCAGGTAACTTGCTAACCTAGAGACAAAATAGCAAAACGTTTCAAAATGCGTTTACAATTATTTATATTTTCATTTGGCTTTGAGCACTAACAGCTGCCAAAATTGTAGGAAGTACACAGCCTATGATGTGTATTGACATAAAGTATTTTTTGAAAGTTAAAAGTGCACTTACCTACCCTGAACACTACTTGGAGACACGGTTATGATGCAATACATAACTTTTCATTAATTTATTTCACACAGGAAACTGAAAAGCTGACTAATGAGCTAACAGCTGATGCTACAGACACCAAGGTAATGATTGACACAGTTGGAATGGGTTTGCTGAAGGGCATATGGTACCGAATGGCTGAACTGCAATCCAAGTTACACCATGACTATTCTACAAAACTGGAGAAACTGCAGGTAATCTCAAACGAGGCCAAAGCTTCTGGACAGCTTTATCAGCAAATGGAAACCCTCCTGGAACAGCACGAAAACTCTGTACAATTTCTACAGGAGGACAAAAAATTCAAGGAAAAGATAGAAAAAGTGCTAGAAGGAAAAGGCTCATATCAGGACCCACCAAAGCATAAAATTTCAATGCAACAGTATTTTGAAGAGCTCATCAGAGGAATTAATATCAAGGATTACCTCTCTACTGCATGCGAGGAGATGCTTTCAAGTACCACTGACATATCCGACACACGTCAATCAGAATGTCCCGCCTTTGTTTTTTCAGATGAGAGTCCCGATCACCACTTCTGCAAAGAAGTACTGCAACAATTTGAGAAGTCAAGTGACATCAAGCAAGACAATTTTGAAAATGCAGGCCCCCCTGCACTGCAGCACTAATGCGGACACCAGCATTAGTGAAAAATCAGCTTTTACAGATTTGCTGACAGGATAAATTAAAGCACTATCTCCTGACATTTAGCCTTACTTTCCCAGCCATATGTGCTGCCTATATATTCCACCAAACGACTGAAAGGCACCTTGAAAGGTAAACAGAATGAGAGGCATTTAGTATATATGCTCTGTTGCATGCTTTATTGTAGCAACACAAATTAGTAACTGTTGGGAAGCCGGCACTAAAAGAGTAGCCTAGGACAGAGTAACACAGGCTGTCTCACCAGGGTGGATTTAGAGATGTCGGGGAAAAGGAGCCTGTGTACAGCACGTGCTGTGAATCCTTCCTACGACCCTGACAGCTTCAAGTTTATTCTCTATGAGAAATGTAACTCACGTCCTAAGCACTAAATTTGAGCCTTAAACCATGACCACACACAGTTAATTCCATAAAAACCTACGTACGAAGGTTAGTTTAATAACTTATTTAAGGGAATTACAAAATAATTTAAATTTATTTTAAAATGATAAATGCTAGGCTACAACACTTCACATATTTAGTCATCTGCCTGATAATTTGTCCAGAACAGTCAACAATATATTCATAGGAGCGCACCTTTTAAATTTTTGAGAGGTACAGAGCCTGCCTGCCACTTTTTCCCTTACATAATTTCTCTACATTCCTTTGCTAATTAATACAAAAGCATTTCTGCTTTTCAGGGTAATGTCTGCTCAACCTCTGCACATTTTAACTTTGGAAAACTTAAAAAGCTATCAGCTTCGTTTTCTTTTGGCTCTTCCGGTAGAATCAGAACTAACTTTTTGGAAATCTAACAAACACAGGACACGTCAAAGAGTACTCCTTGTACTACGTGAGAAGAGATCCATAGGATTCTGGGGGATTATTATGTTCCACATGTAGGCGGCTTTCCTTTTAAAATACCATTTCAGATCAGGCCTGGGGGTGGTAGTGATCAAAGCCCTGATGCTGAAGGCTTATAGATCAGCCCCGCATGCCCCCTCTCGGTACCAAGCCTCCTCGTGCGAACACAGACGTCGCTAATGAGGGTCACCGACGAGACTGGGGCCAAAAGCTGTCGTTTCCCCCCAGCTCCTTGGTACCCCACGTGAAAGCAGGATGACAGGCATACTGGTGGAACGCGAAAATCAATTCTAAAAAGAGCAGATATTGCACCCCTGACTTGTTTCGCACAAAACCGACCCCAAACTTGCTGTCCTAACTACTCTCAAGATGATTCTGAGATAACATGCACCAGCAACTCTATTCTCAACCTGTCTTGTTGCACATGCTTAATGCAAGAAGTGGGAGACACAGTCCTCATACCAAATTCCATATGATGCTTTTAGTCTGGTTTCCAAGGTACATGTATGTGTCCATCCTTCTTCCTCTCATTCCTTCTGAACCCACCGACCACTTTCAAGCCAATTTAACTAAGTGCAAAGAGATTAAGTTCCCACAAGCTTCATGATGGTTTTCTATTAGCAGTCTCAGTGAAAAGAGGGTGCAACATAAGTTTAAACTTTTTTTTTTTGACATTACAGGACTCATATGGGAATGGTGGAGAAATAGGAATGCCCTAATTGTGAGAAAAGCTTCAGCTGTCACTTGTACATTACTAGATAATGGCAAACCCAGAAGCAAACAGAAGGAGGAGGGAGGAGCAATAACAGGAAAATTTTCGTTACCCTCATTAAAATGTAAACACTGGCAGTTTTGCATTAAGACAGATATATATTTTAATAGTCATGTTTCAAGGCTTTAGCCAGTTGCCTGCAAGGATCAGGTAGTGCAGGATCAGGACCACTCTATTTTTCTACGGGATTGTAGTGCTTCTCACCGTAATATTATGAGAAAATATCCTCATTTGCTCCCAACAGGGTACACAGACTGCTTAATTAGCACAGTAAGTAATAAGCTTAACATTCTCCTTCTGTACATAAAGCAGTTATTACAAATAAATACCTATACTAAATAGAATACCATCCCTGATCCTGGTGTCTACCCCTTCACGAAATGCAATGAAATTGAAAAACATTTAAAGGTAAGTCAGTAAAATTACTCAGTGGTTAAAAAACTATGACTCAATTTTTCAGCATACTGAATAGAAAACGGGAATCTAGGTTTCACCAGTTCCACTGCTATGTGACCATGCGCTTCCATATTCACCAGGCTGAGACACTCCTTCCAGTCCCACCGTTGCCAGGTCTTTTCACACTTTTTTCATCTTTACCATTTTGACCATCTTCTAATTTTGTATAATTTGTAAAGACACACGTACTGACATTTTCACCGTTACACAGAATGAATAGAACTGGGACCAACCACGAATTTTATCTTGCTTCTTAACTTAGAGCCTGCCAAGGTGCTGCCCTAAGATGCTGTTCAGGTGCCGTTTAATGGTAATGAACGTTGTGCTCAGAAGGTAACCTGAGCTTCACGTGGCTAAGGTTACAGCTTGTAATCACTTGCTGCTGCAGTCAAGCAATGCTCAGCAATGCTCAGAATAACTTCACTGTCATTTCTGACCTTTCACACTTGGTGCAGCCGAAGCTGAAGTATGGCACGAGGAAATCGGCAGCAGCCAGGGGCAACGGTACCACCCGTTTACTGCATCTACCAGTCCGGGTGAGAACTCGGGCTTTCTACATCACCCCTTTTTCAAAGAATTTTATTCGACAGATTTATCATAACAAGTGGTTTATACATCTGAATTATTTTCTTCTGTACTGATACCAACTGCATTTGCCCACAGTGTTTGTTTTCAACGTGTTCTACGCTGTGATCCACCTTTAGATGAGGAAAAGGGTTTAGACTCCCCAATTCCTATCTGTCCTAAAGAAATACAGAGTAAGGTGAGCAGAACTTTTTGGCACTATTTTGCACGACCAAAGACTCTTCCTAGGATATTGCATTTCAGGTCACACAGTTTCAATGTCCCTTGATCTGCTTTTAAAATAATTAGTGCTATTGAAAATGGCCTGCTAATCCACAACTACGTGCATTCCAGTAAAACAGATGGGCTGGCATTTCTTATTAAAATACAAGACTTAAGTTAGGCAAAAAGTGATAAAACAATTCACTTTCCGAAGAAAAATTTGTCACGTCAACTCTCTGGTGCCTGACTGGACATACTGTAGAATTGTTCTCCAAGCCAGAAACAATGTCCTTTCCCAATTATGAGTATAATGAGCAACGGCCACCAATGAATCAGCGTGCATCTGGCAAAGCGCAGGCCCAAAAGAGCACTGTCACTCAGTAAGTATTTCCTGCTTTGAAAATAGACGTGTCATCTATAGAACACTTCATTTTTGAAAAATGCTTCTGCATCCCTCCTCATTTATCTGATAGCTGGGATTGACTTCCTTATTACAGCACTCTACCCCTCCGGCAAATCCAGCCCTCCAGCAATCCTCACTATAGACAGCACAACCTGTAAATTACTAAAAATGTGAATTTACATATACCTCTTACAACCTTTCTGAATACGACTCCTGAAAAATAACATTTAATAACTACTACTTCTGGTAAATTCTGTCTGTGTGCTAGCAAGAATTATTACAGTGCCTAAGCAAAATACAATGGTAAGATGGTATTTCACTGCTGAACGTGTTACTTGGACAGTCATCTTTCGCGGTACTCATACCCCATCTTGTGACCTACACTGGAAGTGCAGGAGCTACCAAAGCGCTTCTCGGTGGTACCTGGCAGACACCTGACAAAAGTTTCTCACCTTAACACGGGCTGTAGCTCCAATATTCATCAGAAAATGAGTCAAATTACACCTGAAAGTAAAGATTAGGAAGTAATTTAGCAGCCGGCCGAATTCATTTGACAAAGTTTTACGTGCACAAGGATGAAAACTGCATTTGGGTTCACCTTTCAGCTGTTGAGGCATCATGATTTAGTTCGTTCGACATGCAAAACGTCTGCCTTATCCAGACAGGCGTCAGGTCACTGTTTAATCTGTTCTTTGCTCTCATCACCAAAAACAAGGCTCCATGTTCCCTTCTCACATTTGTGATAAAAGTCATTATTTCTGAAGACAGGACTCCACACACACAAGAACTTCATCATTCAAACGCTGTAAACCTTTACAAGATTGTTAAGAACTCACAAAAGTTTCATTATTTCTAAAATTTCTCAAAAGAAGGAAACAGAAAAGCTTACTTACAAAAAACAGACCGACAAGAATACTCTGTGCGTTCACACTTTTTTTAAGGTATCTCTATCTCAACGATCTGTGTCTGAAGTTTGTGCTGCTCTGAAAGACTTTGATATGCCTTATAGCCCCCGTGCATCTCCAAAACATTAAAAAAAAATTGACCAGGAATATAACCAGAAAAGGTATTTTAATCAAGTAACAACACGCTAACATAACACTTGCAAGTCAGATACTGCTTCTGAAGAACAGGATAAAACCCAAATGCAGAGGCAGAGAGAAAAGTACAAACTTTGCCAAAAATACACAATTCACGACAGAGCGTCAACAGCGAGCTGGAGGTTTCTCTCATCCAACTGCAGAGGCCAGTAACTTGAAAACAGGAATCACTTCCAAGGGTGGCTGGTAGAAAAGAGACTCTTCTTCCCAGCAAGGAACAGTACAGACTCATTACTTCAAGAGCCCATTGGCGTTGCAGGGAAGGATGAAGAAAGAGAAAGTACTTCAGTGGCTGCTCCCCAATTAAACAAGATTATCATCTATCAGAGAACGCTATCGACAAAGCAATTAAAACTCCAGTTGTTGCTCATTCAACCATCTACTTAAGTAGACTACAAAAACACGACGACAACAAAAGCTGCCAACGCCAAGGAGAAAAGCCGCTCTTGCAATGCTGAGGCTAACAAGAGCTCTGGATAAAAACTGCACGTACAATATAGCGTATTTATCGGGAACTGTTACTCCTCACCCCCTCAGGAGAGCTTGCTAAAGACGCTGCAGTTGACCACGCCGGTTCACCGACGCTGGCTGCAGCTGGTGTTTGTG